ATTTCATTGTTTTATTGCCTTTCCAATTGTGTTTAACTAATAATCCTGCCATACAAAGCTGTAAGTCACATGGCAAACATGTAGCTGTTACAATATCAAATTATATCATGCACAAGCTGCTTGCAAGTATATCTTGTAAAGAACTTTTATTATTGCAGACCTAATAAATAAATTTAGTATTTCAAAAATTATTTAATCTCAAAGTCCAAGTTCAAGCGAGGTCCAGTTCAATCTACACTTTGATCTATGCGTGTTTTGGGGTTATTTTAGTTTTGGAGAATTCCACTCCTCATCAGTAACCCTGAACACAAGTTAACCAAAGAGAGATAAGGTGGACCTATATCATAGCAAAAAGTATCACACATGTTGTTTGTGTGAACATGCTTTGTAGTCATTACGAGATCTGCTGACTCATGATTTAGCACAATTGTTTCAATTTTGTTTTCATTTCATGCCTGTATGAATTGTTGTTATTTTATGAGCTTATGTGAAATTCTTCTACTGATTTTCCATAAATACTTCACTGATCTCCAATTTGTGTCTCAATCTTACAAATTTTTGCTTTTACGGGGGATTTGACTGTGATTTTAAGTTAACGAAGATTGAATACATTTACTGAAGAACTGAGAAAGCTTCTCATTCTTTGTTCTTTTGTTCTCAGCTATTTGGACTAGCCTTAAATTTAACATAATGCACACATGAGAGAGCCAACATAAAATTTATTAAGCTAATTGGCTAGTGACTTTTAGTATCTCTCAAGGAAGTACTGCTTTCTTAAGGATTCTGGCTATTGTAAAAAGCTTGGCAGGTGAATGACATAATTTTAGAGAAACAATAAGGGTAAGTGGAACATAATGGTTAGAATAATATTACTTGCATACAAGTGAAGTTGTGTGATATCTGCCTGTTTTTTGTCCAATATGCAGTATAATACTTGGTATCATTAACTTTTCAGTTATTTGGTAGTTAATTAGTATTGGTTAATAAAAAGTTGAAGGTTTAGGTAAGTGTCATTATATATTCCTCTGAGAAAAGGGGAACTAATTATTGTGATTTTGAATAACATTTTTTTCTTTTGTTTTCAGTTATCATTCAAAATTATATTTGTTTTGATATTTTATCACCTTGTCTATTTCCTGTGCCTGTCATCCTTGTTACATGTATATTTGCAGAGCTGGGAATTTTGTCTAGCTTCCTTAAATGTTTGTTTTGTTTATACAATGTTTGTATGTTAGATATATGTTTGAAAGCTACAAAAATTTTCTTCGATGAGAAGACATCAGACAAAACGTGGTTAGGTTTAGCAAGTACAACAGATGATGGTAATATATACTGAATTTATTTATTGAATATTAATTTATTATTTATCATATTCAAACAATATACATAAATAAATTGGCTAACTAGCCTGTTTCTAATTGCAATTATGATGTATTTTGAATAAAAACATTATTACCATTATTAGTGACAGTAAAACATTTTTATGATTTAATAATTGATTTAACATACAGAGGGAGGTATTTACTGTATATTTTAAAAACAAGACAAAATGGGACCACATGGGTATATCAACATTAGCAAATTGCCAAGTAGGAAATGTTCAGATTATCTTAAAAAAATATATGGAAAAGTTTTTGTCAAAATTTTCAAATGGTGAATATCAGAGGAAACTTTGATCTGCCAAAGCCTACAATAGTTATATTACCATGTAATTCTGAAAATAATATGCTTTGTTTTACTTTATGCTATTAAAATTTACTTTATAGGTTGGGTATATTATGTACACAGCACTCAAGTATTCTATTTTGTCTTTTTAACGTTGGTTAAATTTATATTTCTGATAAACAAAAATACAGCTACACTAGAAATGTTTTGTTCATTATGGAACTTAAAAAAAACAAATGTTGCAACCTAGTGTAATTAGTGGTTAAATTTATATTTCTGATAAACAAAAATACAGCTACACTAGAAATGTTTTGTTCATTATGGAACTTAAAAAAAACAAATGTTGCAACCTAGTGTAATTAGTGGTTAAATTTATATTTCTGATAAACAAAAATACAGCTACACTAGAAATGTTTTGTTCATTATGGAACTTAAAAAAAACAAATGTT